CTTTGTGAGTGTATTTGAACCGACAGAACTATTTGGGAAGTGTCGATGGTTGTGCTAGCACAAAGCCACAAATCATTGTGGCCGAGGGTTTGAGCATACTGGCCTTCTTCAGACATGCCAGATAATGTGCTCTATCCTAGGAACTGTAACTAAACTTCGCTCATCATAGTTACAGTATAAACTACAGGTGGGTTCTGTTTATGTTGAATAAACACAAATGTACCAGAGCAGGGATCTGCAACAGGGATTGATTAGCTGCCCTAGTAGACTTGTATACTTGGATACAAGTGGCCAGCTATAATGTGTATGATGTTGGGAAAAATCTTTTCAAACTGAAATAAGTATTCTCACTTAAAAGAAAATATTTTCTTGTTTAATTGTTTTAAATAGTTAAGATTAAATATATTCATGCTTTGTTAGAATTAGCATTGCATTATACCCTATTTTTGTTATCAGCCATTAATATTTAACCTTTAATATGTCATATACTGGGCATTTTGTAAACATTAATAGATTATTTACTGTCAGGAATAATGTTATTATAAACATATCTTTATTGAATTATTTAACAGCAAAATGAATATGTAGCAAACAAGAATGTCCTTTTATAAATAAATTAAAAAAAAAAAAATTTAATGTACCAAAACTGATACTCACATCATGATTATATTCAAGAAACACTTGGAAGTTTACATCTCCCCTGAGGGTGGGATGAGCTGCCAGTCTTTGCAAAAACACTTCATGCATAGCAACAGTTTTTTTGAATGTTGCAAGATATTCACTGAAAAAGACAAAACAAAGCCAAGCATATCAAACACCCACATGTAGACTGATAATAAATATTGAAAGAAAGGAACAAGAAAATTGATAGAGAAGTTTCTTTTATCAATTTCTTTGGTAAATTTTTAAAAGACTGCAAATGCTGAAGTTTAGTTAACTGCTTCTAATGTTACAGCAAGGCAAATCAGATTTGCCCATTCACTAAAAACATTCAATTGTTTTTATTTATTTATTTTTTTTTTGTTGTTGTTTTATTTTGTTTTTTTTGAAAGATGGTTTTCAAGAGAGAAACCACTCTTTTTCTTGACCCCTCGGCAGGCAAAGCAGTTATGGTAATTATTCTCACTAACTTACTTTCCTCCAACCCTAGTAGAATACCAGTGATAAGACCTTTTTGTCAAAATAACTGCTAATGTGACTACAGGAAAAAGCAGATTCATGACTTTCCAAAGGGCACTCATGCCAACATAATCAGTTGTAAGTGAGAACTAAACTGTTTGTTGATTCTATTATTTATACTGATCATCAGATACCTGGGATTAAAAAAAACAAAACAAAAAAAAAAAAACATTTTAATTATTAGTAATAATGGCTTGGATTTTTATTAGATGAAACATTATCAACCATTCTTCTTCTTCTTCTATGTCCTTTCAGGACATTGGCAATCATGGCTCTCCATAATTTCTTTTTCTTTTGTAGCTCTTAATAAAATTTGTCTTTTAGCTATCACTCCTAAACCCTGTTCTACCATTCATTTACACAAGTTTGCTAGGTAGGTTATGCATTGTTTTCCAGTTCCTCTTGCCTTCAATCTGCCCCATTAGCATCAAATTTTCTGAGCCCTTTTAGCCATTATGTGCTCTAGAAATTTCAATTATCTCTTTCTGGTGTTAAGTATGTGTTCTTTTCGTTTCCTTTTCTGTAAAACTGTTGTTGCTCAAATGTTCAGTCCATGGCATTTTCAGCATCCTTCTGTAGAACTATATTTCTGCTGTTTCAAGTCTCTTCTTTATCTTTGAGATTGTCCAGCATTCACTGATATTACGTAACAGTTCAGTACACTTTTCTTTGTTTCTAATGAAATTCTCCTGTTTCTTAATACTTTGCTTAGCTTTGGAAGTCATCTTTCACTATCTCAATGTGCCTTCAGATCTCAGTGTTGTACTTTTTATCCTCTATTAAAATTTAAATTATTGTACTTGTTTGATTTTGGTATGTCCAATTTATATTTTGCATGTTGGACTGTTGCTTTTGCCAACAACCATACATTCTGTCTTCTTGCAATTGATGTTTCTTTCATTTTAGTTGTTTTTCATTACAATTACTCACAGTACCAATCTATGGCTATAAGAATTGAAGAACCAACATTGAGTTTCAGCCAAATTTGTTAAATTCACTTATGATCAAATACTCTTGGGAAAGATATGAATCTACCCCCACCAACTATAGGTTAAATAGTAGGACTTATACCTGGGAAAAAAAATCATTGTTATTCTCTAAAAACTTAATGCAATATTCATGTCTTACAATCCAAAATATGTTTTAGCTTTAGATAACTCACAAAAAGTTGATAAGCCATAAAACAATAAATCATAAACCAATTAATATGGTTATTGGTATATTATTTACATTATTCGGACTATTGTCCTCATCTTTGTCGCCATATTCATCACAATGTTTCAGCTGTTGTACGCTCTAGCCTTCTTCAGGTGGTTGGAATGTCGAACTGAACCCTTTATTTCACTCACTGGGGTAGACTGTTCTTGTTCCATGTTCAATGGATGTCAGTTATCAGTTATCTCCTGTTAATTTCCCTCTGAAAGTTCTCCACTGCCTTAACCAGGTATTGAACTCACACTCTTTGGGTCCTGTCATTGGATTTAACTAACACCTTTATCCACTGTGCCATGTGTCCTTGAGGACACATGGCACAGTGGAAAAAGGCGTTGGCATGGTTATTAGTATTATCTCTGATCTGTGATGTTTAGTCATGATCAGAGATGAATTTAAAAAAAAATATATATAATTTAAACTTTGTTTATTCATTCTTATATATCTTTAATGTTAGGTTTATTGGAGTGGGAAAAACAAACAGAAATAAAAACACCACATTTGTCCATATAAAGTTTTGCAAATAACTTTATAATATTGAGAGAGACTTTTATTTTATTTTATTCATTTCAGTTTACATGAAATTTACATTGCCATGACAAGAACAAGAACGACAAGATGACTGGCAATGAGACACTCACCAAGTCATAACTTAAAAATAATATAAACTTTCTTTTATACTATTGTTCACTACCTGTACAAGGCCCAAAAGCCACTCAAGGTAGGGAATTACTGAATGAAATTGTTGTAAGAGAGTAATATATGGGGAGCAAGAGGTGAATATGATGAGGATATGTAAGATAGACAATGGTTGACCCTAGACTTGAGTTTAAGATTGTAGTAGCCAGGGAAACATCCTCTCAGGAGTTTGTTTCCCCAATTAGTGAAAGTTCTGGGGAAGAAGCTGCCTGAAAAGAAACTTCCTCCTTGCCAAAGGTATAAACTAATAGATATTAAATTAAATTGTGGCTCTTCATAGAGATCCTTATTATTCAATGAAGTTTTTATACTAAGCATCAGCATAATATTGGGTTGTCCGGAAAGTTCATGCCAATTTTTAAAGGCAATTAAAACACAAAACAAGAATTAAAAAGAAACATGAGGTCTGGTGTTATGCCAAACAACACCTTTCCTGTTCATCAATTCTGGGTGTTTTCCTTGAATTGCTGCCTTTAATCTGTCCAGTTTCAAACAGTACTTTTCAGAATCAATTGACTGGTTACTTGGCAGAGGTTCATAGTAGAAGATTCCTTTCTAATCCCATCAGATGCACAGCATTACTTTCTTAGGATGAAGACGTGCTTTTGAGATGGCTAAAGCTGGCTCGTGCTGCTTACCCCAGGATCTTTTTCGCTGAACATTGCTGTAAACTGTTATATAGGAATAAAGTGTCTGCTGACATTGGTGTTTGAACGTAGATCGCAAATGAACAAACACAGGCGATCTCATTATTCATTAGGTAGATCATGTGACTATAGCAAAATGCATATATAGAGGAAGTCGCATGATGTCTTAGGTGTATTCACTATTTCTCCTCTATCCCTATACTATTCAGACTGCTATCTTCTCTATATGAAGTACTATTAATACAAGTATTATTCTAAGACATCTAATACAAGTATTATTCATCGGCATATTATTACTGGTATCTGCAATTACAAAGTCTCTACTACGTTGACATTGACAAAGTATCCAGCAAGTATATGTTATCATAACAGTGACAACAAAGGGTCATTCGAACAACATAACATAAGCAATCCATTTCTCATCAACCATCACAATTTGCTTCAAAAAGGATGCATTTTCATTGCATTTATACAGCAAATCACAGATGAAATGTGATCCATAAGATTCTTTTCAATCACATCATGTGGCATCCAAACATTGTAGCAATTTGAGTACCCAATGTGCTCATGGATGGATGCTGGATTTTGATAAATTTAGTGTTTTTGCTAATTCCTGCATTGTGTAATGCTGGTTATTCTCAATCAATGTCTTGATTTGGTCGTCATCTGTAGTTTTTTTTTTTTTGGAGGAGGAGGGGGCTACCTGAGCACTTATTATCAATAAAGCTACAATCACCAACTCTAAACTTAGCGAACCATTTCCATACAGTTTTGTCAGTTAAAGAAACTTCACCATACACAGCACATATCTTTTTTTGTTGCTTGCAAGGCATTTTTAGCTTTACAGTAAAAACAAAAGCATTAGGTATCTAAATGCACCTTATAATGTTCCATTTTCATAGGGATGCAAAATGGACATGATTTTAAATTGTCTTTCTCAAGAGATAGTTTGAAGTCAGAAATGTAAGCATATTATATCTGTCAATAAACGTGATGTGTTCTAACAGGCTGGAACATGAATGACTAAAAATCAGCATGAACTTTCCAGAGAACCCAATACATTCTTATTTTCTCCATCTATAAAAAGTTGGCTTTTTAAAAGATGACTGATATACTCAACTGAAACAAAAGGTCACGGAGGAGGAGGAGAGAAATTAATTGGACGGAATTATTTAATCTAAATCTGAACAAGAAAGGATAAACAGATTTTATACTTACGCTTCTAATTCTTGTTTCATTTTGGCAAACTCTTCTTTTGTCATGTTACCTTCTCCTTCTCCCAGTCTTTGTAACTCTCTCGTGAAGCATCAAAGTCTGGTTTAGGAGGAGCAGGAGGGATCTGAAAATAGAAAACAGTTAACAACAGGTTTAATCTTGCGACAAGAGAAAAATCAAACCATATTTTTAATTTTCTTTTGTTTTACAATAATGTTCACTCTGTACAAGAGCCACTCAAGGTAGAGTAAATAGCAGAGTTTATGGAGATATGTGGGAAAATGCCAGTTAACCCAAGACTTGAACAAGTTAAGATTGTAGTGATCAGGGAAGCATCCTTTTGAGAAGTTGGTTTCATAAAGCAGCAGTTCGTGGGAAGAAGCAGAACTTATATCTCAAAAATGGAATCCAAAGGAAATGAGAGTGGTTCGCTACAATGTGCATGGCAGGTCTTAGCCATGAAGGTTAGAACTGGTAGAACTAAAAAATGTAGTTTGTCTGAACAGTTTCCATAGAACCTGAATAGTCATGTGCCAAATTATATTTGTATTCAATTTGATATTTCATCATAAAAAAATCTCATTTTATGACATTGAAACTAAAACAGAATTTGTGTAGCATGTCTTAAACTTGTCAATTCCTTAAATATTAAATTGAGTATGTATTTAAATTTGCCTTTTCATTTTATGTGTATTTAAGCTAAAGTTTTGGAAACAGTTTAGGGTAAGTTACTTTGTTCTTTGAAATTAGTAAAAATTAATCTGCACCAAACAAGAACAAAAAAATGAACTATTTACAATGTAAAAGTAGATTTGATTTTAGCATTTGGAAATATTTGATAATATTGTTAATAGTACATAAAAAAAGAAAAATATTAAAAGAAAAACCAATAACTATTTTTCAGACAGAACTGTTCTAATCAAAATCATAATCACATGACCTTAATAGCAACTCAAAGTATATTGAAAACATTTTTAAAATATATTAGCAATTTATTTTAACTTTCTAGTAGACAGATACTATACAAGGCAAAAAAGTGTGTGTGTGTTAAAATACAAATTCAAACCAAGTTTTTACTTAAAAGATTAAATTTGACTAAAGACCAATAGGAAACAAAACAAAGAAAGAGCAAATTTAAAACTAAGTCATCAAATTTCCCAACTTGGAATTCTGAAAAATCATGAATACAATCACTAAGCCAACAAAAAATAAAACAAAATTTTAACCAGACTATATAGACATCAAATAATTAACAACTCATGAATGACAAGTAAAACTAAAAAGGAAATATAATTAGCCAATAACAGAAAAATTACTACATACAATAAGAACAAAAGATTTCTTAATTATAATACATTTAATAGAATAAAGTAGAAAGATAAACATACACATACAAACTGTTATTGCCATCATGTTTTTTTCATTACTGTTAGTTTTTATTTCAACAGCTGTTGTGGTTGTTTTGATGTTTAAAAAAAGCCAGTGAGCCAATCAACCCACATGGATAAAAAAAAAAAAAAAAAAAAAACAGAATGGATGATCATTTTTGTAGGAGTTCATTATTTCAAACTGAGAATGCTTTTGAATTGCAAAGGCAATATGACTCAGATTCTATATAGAAGAGACCTCACAGCAGATGGTAACCAGGGTTGGTGAACTGGACTACATTTGAAAAGGCCAGATCTGAAGTTAACCAAATTGATTTTAAAAGTAACCTGTTAAGTTACAAATGACAAAGATCCAACATTTAGTTGTACTAGGCTTTCAAAAGGAACCTAATCTGTTAAATTAACAGAGCAAAAAAAAAAAACACAAATAAATCAGCTTTATCATATATCAAGGAAAAAAAAAAAAAAAAAGCAAAAATAAGATTTTAAATACTATCCAAACTTACATAACACTACACACACAAAATTAGCTGTATGGTACATTCAATTTCATTTAAAATAGAATTTTTCAAATATTAACATTTTTTTATAGACATATAAAAATTAGAATATGATCTGAGGCATCAAACAAATATTCATAATCCATTTCAAAAAACCTTTTATTTAATGCAGTAATAGCAAGAAAATTATCTAAACACTTCAGTTTAATAACATAACCTTTCTGATCAATAACTTTAAGTAAATACTTTCTATAGTTCATAATTAGTCTACTAATTTCTTTTAGCATTGTTATTATTTGAGTCTTCAAAAGTCAAAATGCTTTAACTCTAGAGTTAGAAGGTTGTCTTAGATGAACTCCAAGTTTTCATTACAAATTTTCTCTTCAGTTCCAAACACATTTGAGGCCAAAGTAAGACATTGATCTTGCTGCCTTTAAGCCAATTTTCCATCATTGCAATTGAGTGTTTAGGATCATTATCAATGAAAATGAAACTGTCTTTCAAAAAGGTACCCGTCAAAATCTTTGTGGTTTCCCCTTTCATGACACAATGGGTCCCTTCTAGATTAGCTTATGATCACACAACGTCAAGTGAGCTGAGTCTGATTTTTAAAACCACCAAAAGTAAAATCAAAATGAGGACATCAAAGCAAGCATTCACCGTCCACAAATAAAGAAAAAGGAAACAGTAAATAAATAAATGAAAAATATCAAGATTAAGTGTCACTCAGCCAGAAAGTAAGGAATTCTGGTTATGGGTTTATATAGTAATTTTTTTTTTTTTTAACAATAAGTTTCACCTTTACAAAGCTTGGGGGGCCCACACGAGGTAGAGGGTTACATTTGGAGGCCATCTGTGTGTATAAAAGTGAAAGATAATGGTTAATCCTAGCCTTGAATAGGTTAAGAGTGTAGAGATTTTTTACCCCATTGAGTAGTTTCGCCAATCTCTGACCATTAAGAGTTTTAAAGGTGCACATTATATATATATATATATATATATATATAGAGAGAGAGAGAGATGTTTACAAATGATCTGAGTATATTCTTAAGCAGATCATTTATGTAGATCAAAAAGAGGGTTGATCTGAGGAATGACCCTTAGTGGGTGCTTGTGTTGATCTCTAAGGCTCCAGAAGACTGGCCATTTCTAACTACCTGTTAGATAGGATTTTATGATCAAGAAGACCCTTCCAGTGATTCCATAACTGAGAGCTTGTGTAGTAAGCCTTTGTGCCACATTTTGTCAAAGGTCTATAAGATATCAAGTGCTATGATCTTCAAGGTGTTTGTCATCAAGAGCTTCACTGATTCTGTGAGTGATGGTAGTTAGGACATCAGCAGTGGATTGGGCCGACCAAAACCCATATTGCTTGTAGCTGAAGAGGTGGTTCTTTTCTAGGTGTTTAACAACCTTCTTATTGATTAAGGCCTCAAAAAGCTTACTGATGATAGTGAGGTCATATTCTGGAGTGGCCAGTCATAGAGTGGTTATAGTGGGGTCAAACACAAACCATCATTTGAAGATGTATAGTCAGATTCACGGAAACAGTCAGAAATTTAGAGGGGTACTCATAGAGATGGGGAGAAGGGTAGTTGAAATTTTACTGGCTAAAGGGAAGATCTGGTTATTCACTTATGAGAGAATACAAAAAAGTAGCAATGAAGATGTGACATGTCACATACTTTCCAACTAAATTGTGCCAGGTAAATCTGTGAATGAAGAACCCAATATACTGAAAACAGAGTGTGTTACTTCACCTTCCATTCCCTTGTGGACATACATTAGCATTTTCCAGTTTTTGTTCACGTGGATGCAAATGGGTATCAAAAACATTGCACGGAGTGAAGCTGTCTAGTCAGTGCAAAACCACAATTGCAATCTTACATTTTAAAATCATAGTCTAGATTTTTCTCTTTTTTTCTATCAGATTCAAGTTTGGAGACTGTGATGGCCATTTGAGTGTATTGACATTGTTTTGAATAAGCCATTTTTTGTAGCTGGATGTTTAGAGTCATTAGCTTGACCGAGTATATTCTTAAGCAGTTCATTTATGTAGATCAAAAAGAGGGTCAAACCCCATTTATTTGGGAATCTAAACTTTACTACTGACCCAAACCAATTAGAGTCCAAAACATTTTGGTATATTTTTGAATTCATTCTACCATCTACTATTTCTAAATTACCCATACCATTAGCAGAAAAAACATCCCCAAACCATTATAATACGACCACCAAATTTCACCGTTGGGATTGTGTTCTTTGGTGCAAAGACTGTGCAGTCTTTTCTCCAAACATGAGTCCCTGAATTGTGCCCATATAATTCAATTTTTGCTACATCTGTCCATAAAACACTTTCCCAAAATGATTCAGGTTTATTCTTATGCTCACATACAAAAATTTTAACCGAGCATCCCTATGTTTCTGGAATAGTAGTGAAGTTTTTCTTGGAGAACACTATCCTAGTTGACTTCTATGAGCGTTCATTGCTTATTGTTCACTTCATAACAATAATACCTGATGCTTTTAATTCTTCCTGTATTTTCTCTGAATAGTCATTGGATTTTCTTGAATTTTGAGCTGAATTCTTCTCATTAATCTGGAAGAAATCTTGCGTGGTACACCAGATCTTGATTTGTTCTCAACAGTTTTCACCTTTTTATACTTAGCAATAACGGAACTAATAGTAGTAAATGGTATATTCAGGATATCTGCTATTTTCCTATAGATTTTGCTTTCCTTTCAATATTTGATGATTAATTCTTTTTGTGAATTTGATAGTGCCTTGCCTTTCCCCATGATGATAATTTTTGTGTATGATTTGTGTGTGAAAATAACCTTATATAAGAAATGAATTGCAGAATGTTTTAGATTGTACCGGTGATAAGATAATTGGAAGAATCTAGCAAAATCTTACAAAAAATTATGTAAATGAAGGTAATTTAAGCCTTTTGATATTAAAGACATATTTTGTATAAATACTTTTTTTCACCTCAAAATTTTATAATACATAATTTTATTTATAAAAAAGTTTTCTAATTGTTTTTGCATTATGCGATGATGTAGAAATATTGTATGGATTTTAAGTTTTCTCATAAGTTTTAACTATATTAATTAAAAAATTTCATAGTGTACAAATATTTATTTCCTTCCAGTGTGTGTGTGTGGAAGTAGTAATGGTCTAGTGTTAGTATTTGAATAAATTAATAAGTATTCAATTTTTTATCCCACATTAACTAAAAAGGCTTTAACAGTTTTATTGCAATTTTCTACTTCTTATTTATGTGAATTAGGGTTCTCAACCCTAAATAACATCAAAAATAAGAAGCAAGAAAGACTACGCTCAACTGAAGAAGAAATGAGAGTCTGCTTATCACACATTCAAACAAACGAAGAAATTGCGAAAAAAAAACAGGCACAGGTTTCACAGTAAATAAACTGCACAAATAGTTGAATAGAAACAGTGAAATAAAGTAAGTTCATATTTGTGTTTATTTTTTTTTTTTAATCTATGGTTTTATTTCATAACACTTAACTGTAAACCCTTTTAAAAATTTTGCTAATGTGCCATGATATTTTCTCCTAGGTGTGCTGTTGCTTAAAAAGGTTGAGAAATACTGTCATTACAGTTTTACCATTTGTTTTGCAAATCCTACCTCTGGCACAAGTTACATAAGTATCTAATTTATCAATGAAATAAAGTTTTGTCTTTTATGACATTTTATAGACAAAGTGTATTTTACCTACATTCTCAGACATTATTAAAAGAAGCAAAATATTAAAAAAAAAAAAATCATATTTAATATTATATAAGACATTCATTCCAAATCTATATTTAATATTACAGTATTACAAAATCTAATATTGTAATCTGAAAACAATGACATTAAACCTGAGACAAGAACTTATAAAACAGACTGGAAAATTTTCCCAACAAATACACAGGCGAGACATCTAAGAATTTAAATAAAATAGTCCATGAACACACAAGGGATCTTTTATGGAACAATTTTCAGTATTGATTGGGGTCTCCTCCTTAACACCTTATTTGATGTAGTGTGGAACACTGTCATCTTGATTATGTCATTATTTCCTCTTTACATTACATGTGATATCCATTTTAACTGTAGCTACTGTTGAAAGTCCTCAAATGATGTTTCTGCTATCTGTTGCATTTCTTTGTGATTCTGTAGCACCAGTCCATAAGGTATGAAGTGTGGCTTTCACCAATTGTGTGTGTGTGTGTATCCAATGTAACAGCAAAATTATCTAATTGTTAGATTAAGCTTTGAACCATTGTATCATAGAAATGATTAAAGATATCTTACTGGAATTCTCCAAGGTTTTTATAACACTATTGGACTCTACTTTGAGCAATAAGAATGTATAATTACTCTCCAAGCTTAACAGAAGAATTGTGATGAATTTGATCATAAACGGAAAGGACATGTTCATCATTAATTAATCATAGCTAAGAATTGATCTGATTAGCTCTAAGTTGAAATCATTATCCTTCTTCCCAATCTAGTTTTCCTCTGTACTGTTCACTCTTTTTTAAACTTATTCACTGTTCTCATGATCATTCTTGAATGGACTTTGAAGATGGAAGCCAGAGTATAAATATTGGTGCCATTACTGAAGGTCTGAATGATCTTTTTCCTATAAACACTTGAGAAGACAGTGGGTCTGACATAAAACAATTTTAACTTGTTCTCTTTCAAGCTGAATAACTCAAAGGGTTTTTCAGTGATTCTTACAAAAAATGATATCAACATAGCTAAATGTCTTATCTGAAAACTTTGAAAAAAGGAACTCAATTAGTTTAGTGAATTTTTAGATATTAAACATTTTGTGGGATAGACAATTATGCTGTAATACAATCTGGAGAATTTTGTTGTTACACCATATATATATATATATATATATATATATATATATATATATATATACACACACACAACAATGCATTAGTCATTCATATATATGACTGACTCCTTCAATAAAATGACTATTAGTCTGAAGTTCCTTCTCAGAACAAAACATATCATTGTGGAGTTGTTCCCATTTAGTCATACACTTACTATTGGTCTAATATATCTTCCATCAGAATGAGTACTAGTAACATCTCTGTAAACATTAACTTATCATATACTTCAACTTTGTGCATAAGGCCATTGAGTGAAATTGACATATGTTGTCAAATAGATCATTTTGAACATTTTTTTTAATCATATGAAATAATTGAAGATTATTTTTTTTCTAAACTCAAGCACACACTGAGATTTATAATTTGGGTAATATTACATCAGAAAGTTACTTTGGTGATATAGAAAGAAAATAACTGATAAAAAAATTGAGTAAGAGGGAAATACTTACAACAATTCCTGCATACTCTTCATTTTCCACATATCGGTCATGGAGCCAGATGAATTCTTCATGCTGTCTGACCACAGAAAATTCTGGTTCCTGGAATTGAGGGAGTGTTGTCTGAAAAGAGGAATATTATCCAGATCAAAACAATAGCAATTATTGCCAATAAACATGATGCAGTACATGGCGCAAAGGTCATATATTCATAATTACTTCAAAAACAAAATAGACATTTAAAGACACTTTCCACTAGAGTTTTTGTGTTAATTTTTACTTTTTGTTAAAATTTAACTTCATTAACATAAAAAAATAAAAAGTTGGTGGGGGATCATTATTGGAAATTAGTAATGATTAAACAGAAAAGTGTATACTTGTGAAAAGTTAACAGTGGGTTTGTTTTTTAAAGTAAAAATGAGAAACATTTGTGTTCAAGAGACTAATATCATTCAAATAGTATGCACCAAAAACAATACCTTTCAAGAAAAACTAACTGGGTAATGCAGAAATTGTGATTATCATGAAAAATCTTTTATTTTATAATTATTGCACTCCAAGCTTCACTAGGAACATTTTATATATATATATATATATATATATATATATATATATAGAGAGAGAGAGAGAGAGAGAGAGAGAGAGAGAGAGGATAGAGAGAGAGAGAGAGGAGAGAGAGAGAGAGAGAGAGAGATAGGGGAGAGAGAGAGAGAGAGAGAGAAAGGGAGAGAGAGAGAGATAGGGAGAGAGAGAGAGATAGGGAGAGAGAGAGAGAGAGGGAGAGAGAGAGAGGGAGAGAGAGAGAGATAGGGGAGGGAGAGGGAGGGAGGGGAGGGAGAGGGGGAGGGAGAGAGGGAGAGGGGAGAGGGGGAGAGAGAGAGAGAGGGAGGAGAGAGAGAGAGGGAGGGAGGGGAGAGAAAGAGAGAGAGGGAGAGAAAGAGATATGGAGGGAGAGAAAGAGATATGGAGGGAGAGAAAGAGATATGGAGGGAGAGAAAGAGATATGGAGGGAGAGAGAGAGATATGGAGGGAGAGAGAGAGATATGGAGGGAGAGAGAGAGATATGGAGGAGAGAGAGAGATATGGAGGGGGGAGAGAGAGAAATGGAGGGAGAGAGAGAGAAAGAGATATGGAGGAGAGAGAAAGAGATATGGAGGAGAGAGAGAGAGATATGGAGGAGGGAGAGAGAGAGAAAGAGATATGGAGGGGAGAGAGAGAAAGAGATATGGAGGGAGAGAGAGAGAAAGAGATATGGAGGGAGAGAGAGAGAAAGAGATATGGAGGGAGAGAGAGAGAAAGAGATATGGAGGGAGAGAGAGAGAAAGAGATATGGAGGGAGAGAGAGAGAAAGAGATATGGAGGGGAGAGAGAGAGAAAGAGATATGGAGGGGAGAGAGAGAGAAAGAGATATGGAGGGAGAGAGAGAGAAAGAGATATGGAGGGAGAGAGAGAGAAAGAGATATGGGAGGGGGGAGAGAGAGAGAAAGAGATATGGAGGGAGAGAGAGAGAAAGAGATATGGAGGGAGAGAGAGAAAGAGATATGGAGGAGAGAGAGAGAAAGAGATATGGAGGGAGAGAGAGAGAAAGAGATATGGAGGGAGAGAGAGAGAAAGAGATATGGAGGGGAGAGAGAGAGAAAGAGATATGGAGGGAGAGAGAGAAAGAGATATGGAGGGAGAGAGAGAAAGAGATATGGAGGGAGAGAGAGAGAAAGAGATATGGAGGGAGAGAGCGGGGGAATGTGGTTCCGGCTATGAGGCCAGGGTTTGAACATCATCATAGTCAATTTGTCAGGGAGGTGACTTTTTGATAAAATCAGCCCAAGATTTGATCAGTATGTTTTTTTTAATGGCTTATCAACCCTTTGTGGGTTATTTAAAACCAAAACATTTTGGATTGTAAGAATAATTCTTTTTTCTTTTTTGTGAGTAAATATTGCATTCACAATTTCTTTGGAGAATAGCAATGATTTTTTTTCCCCAGATATGAGCCCTACTAAAACCCATACCTGAAGGAAAGAAAAGGGTTCTGTTGTAGTTAGGCGTACGAAAAGTTTTTCTTTCCCGTGTGAGTTTTGAATCCTCGTTCGCCAAAATGTTGTGGAGTAGTTTTCACAGTGGAGGCTTGTATTTCAATAAGTCGTCCTAAATTAGGTTCAACGTACAAAATGTTAGGAACTTGGAAAATAAGAGTTAATGACGCAGCAATCTAGTTGTGATGGTTGGTACTTCAATGTCCGATATCATCTGACTCACTCAACACCATTGAGCCGAACTGGCGACTGCTACTACTACTTATTACTTATTATCTGTGGGAGAGTCCATTACAATAGAATAGGTAATATGGCATAACAGGTTCATACGTTTCTTTTTCTAGGGTATTTGCATGCAAGTGAATGTAACAAACTCAACTAGAATTCAAACTCTGCTCTCTGATTTTATCAGCCTATGAAAGATTATTCTTGATTAGGAAGAGCCTGAAAAAACATACTACAGGTTGACCTTGTGAATGAAATTAAGTAGATGAAACTGTTTGGAAGCCATTCCCGGATGTGCTGGCATGAAGACATAAGACTTCATGGCTGAGGGTTTGAGTCTGCTGGTCTTGTTCAACTACTAGATTATGGGCTCTCTCTAACTGTAGCTAAGGTACACTTAGAATAGTTGCAATATAAAACCAAGTTGGCTGTGTTGGTGTTTAAGAAATAGAGATGCATCTGTGCAGGTGTCTTCAAGAGAAAATAGCAAGCTCCCCAAGCAGATGGACATGCTAAATGTGAATAAGCAGCACACTATTTATATCCTCATACATACACGTTAAAACAGATCTATTTAATTTTGCAATTGTGGTGGTTACATTTTTCACATGAGTAATCTAGGATGTTTATCCATACCATATTAACTATTATTGCACATAACAAAGAATGCTATTTGAATCATTAGAAGTAAGAAATTATCCAAAGAAAGCTAACCAAACAAAAGATAATAAGCAATTTATTAAGAGCCTCTACTTATTCATGAGACAATTGTTATGGCAACATGTGGTATTCATACTGGCAGTGAGTAATACCTCCTATTGTCATAACAATGGAATAACTCATTACAAAGGAGAGCTCAGGCTTTCTAAGTGATAAGTTACATTGTTTTATATGATAGAATGGATAAAACCCAGTATCTGTTGCTTTGTAGTACACAAAACCTGTGATACTATGTTTTGGTTCAAATATAAAAATGTAGACCAGATACACATTTCATATTTTGCATAAATAACCCCAAAATAGGTTTGTATAAAATGGTATGATTAACATGTTCATCTTAACTAAGCATTTACCAAAACAAAAATTATAAATTACATCAATAATCATTGCATGTTTTTAATTTTAAAATATACTCCAGTAATTTAAATATCATATCTAAGTTTTAACAGCAAGAAAATAGCATGAAGTCATTATAAAACAACAATTACTTTTGTATACATAAAGGTATGTTTTTATGTTTTTAATGCCAATTTTTGACATCCAAAACAAACTTCAATTATACCGTGATTGATACCAACAGAAAAAAAATTCATCAGCTCTTAAAAATCTGAAAATAAATTAGCCATTATAGAAACATAGGATTTGATAAAAATTAATTGAATGATTACTTAAACTGGATTTTGAAAAATATGACATTTTTTATTTAGAATGTAAGGAAAATATGTTTACAGTGGGTGTCTGTTATCTGTCAACTCAGTTCAAAGGTGATGAAAGTCTGCTTAAATTTACAAGTGTTTCATGAGATATATGAACTATAGATGATAAAAAATGACAAAAGTCAATGTTACCTACAATAAAATGTTACTCTCATATGACAGGCAATACTAATTATAAATAATTTACAATAATGCTTGAACCCTGTCAATAGTTTCAATGAGAGTAGTAGCTCTGCTACTACTATTTAAGCAGGTAACATGGTGAGTGAGCATTCTCCCACAACAAACTTATTTCTCTATCAACAATTATGTCATGCTGATAACAGACATCTTGTTAAGGAATCCCTCAATGGGAATGCAGGAAGAAGTGGATTCATGCTTTTCCAAAAGGCATTCACTTGAAATGGATATAAAATAAAAGGCAACAACTGTAATTTGAATGGTTTGCCAATTACAAGATTTGTTATGATATCCTCAAATTCAATATACAGTAAAACTGAGTTGATACATAAGCATTCAGACTTATAAGAAAATGAAAAGAATGTCAACATTTTCTTTTATATTTTTGTATCAAAATAATCCTTGTATTATATGTAAACATGTATCATGCAACATTTGAAGACCCAGTTTTGAAGCTAATTTGTTTGACTACAGTAAATGGATATATATTTTGGGCAACAGCATAGTCAGGGCCAACAGTACATATGCTAATTTTATATCTCATGTATGATGCAACCTCCTTAAAATTAGGTTTTCAAAAGTCACATGACATGCAAGCAAAGAGTGTTCCAATAACTTGGACCAATTTTAAATGCGAATTAAGTTTAAGCATCTAATGATTTTTTTTTCTTTCAGATTTAACAACTTAAGTCTTTAGCAATTTCAATCATGGAAAGATTAACAATCAAACAATGTGTTAAAGTTATCAAAGCCTATTACGAAAATGGACATTCAAACAGAAATGCATTGAGAAGTTCCCAGGTCACATCATTACACAAAACAGCAAAGTCAGTTGGCCACCACAATTGTGCGACTGGATGCCTTTAGATTTCTTCCTTTGGGATCATCTCAAAAGTAAGATCTATTCCAACAAACCAACAACAATTCAACAACTGAAGGATGAGATAATAAGGCATATTGGTGACATCAAAGAGCAACTATACAGAGCCTCATCAAAAATTTTGACCATCAAGTGGAGGTGTGTCGCCAAAGCCTTGGTGGACATTTGGGCAATATTATTTTTCACACATAATTGTCATGACTTAAATAACATGATCCAATAGAGAAATAAATAAATTTTCACCAATAACACTGATTTATTTACTGCTGACTTTGATCCATCTTAATGAAACACCCTTTATATAAAGTAAGTGCTTCTAGATCTATTTGTGAAAGATGTTAGAGTAATCTAGAATTTATACTGGAAGCAAAATTCCTACATAAGGCATTCAGATAAAAAATGGAGTAGGTACACAAAAATAAAACAGGGCATAAGACAAGGAAGCGTCTTCTCATTGGATTTATTTAACCTCTACAGTGGAGCTATCCTAAGGAAGCTGGAGATCCTGCCAGAATTTATTATCAGAGGGTACAATCTTAACACAAGATACACATATGACACTACATTGATGGCAAACAAAGAAGGAAAGCTAAAAGACCATCTAGACAAAGCAGTAAAGGAAAACCAGAAGAAATTGTAAAAAGATAATGTGTGGTTGTCAGCATGAGAAAAAGCCCAAGATATGAGCTACAAATTGGAGATATCAACATCAAACAAGTACAAAAGTTTAAATATGTGGGAAGTGAGCAACAGAGGATGAAAAATGTGACACCGAAATCCGAAGGTGCATTGGAATAGAAAAAGATGCCTTCCAAAAATTAAATGTACTAAGAAACAGGAAAAATCATTAGAAAATAAAAAAGGTTGCTGAACCACTATATAAGATCATGTCTCCTATATGACAGTGAATGCTGGACTATTTCCTCAACAATGAAGAAAAGGCTTGAGGCAAAAGATGTGGTTCTACAGAAGTATGCTGAGAATACCTTGAATTGAATATGAGTAATGAGGAAGCTTTAAGGAAAATAGAACCAGAAAAAAAAAAGACACTTATACTTAGAACCAGAAAGAAACAAATGAAATTTCTAGAACAAGTAATGAGGAAAGAAAGCTTGGAGAATTTGTCATTCACAAGTCATTGAAGGCAAAAGCAGTGAGTAATCTGACATAATGAGCTTGTGTAACTAGATGGCAGAACAGGAGTTGGGAAAGACAGAGAACAGGAGTTGGGAAAGACAGAGAACAGGAGTTGGGAAAGACAGAGAACAGGAGTTGGGAAAGACAGAGAACAGGAGTTGGGAAAGACAGAGAACAGGAGTTGGGAAAGACAGAGAACAGGAGTTGGGAAAGACAGAGAACAGGAGTTGGGAAAGGAGTTGGGAAAAGACAGAGAACAGGAGTTGGGAAAGACAGAGAACAGGAGTTGGGAAAGGAAAGACAGAGAACAGGAGTTGGGAAAGACAGAGAACAGGAGTTGGGAAAGACAGAGAACAGGAGTTGGGAAAGACAGAGAACAGGAGTTGGGAAAGACAGAGAACAGGAGTTGGGAAAGACAGAGAACAGGAGTTGGGAAAGACAGAGAACAGGAGTTGGGAAAGACAGAGAACAGGAGTTGGGAAAGACAGAGAACAGGAGTTGGGAAAGACAGGAGAACAGGAGTTGGGAAAGACAGAGAACAGGAGTTGGGAAAGACAGAGAACAGGAGTTGGGAAAGACAGAGAACAGGAGTTGGGAAAGACAGAGAACAGGAGTTGGGAAAGACAGAGAACAGGAGTTGGGAAAGACAGAGAACAGGAGTTGGGACAAAGACAGAGAACAGGAGTTGGGAAAGACAGAGAACAGGAGTTGGGAAAGACAGAGAACAGGAGTTGGGAAAAAGACAGGAGAACAGGAGTTGGGAAAGACAGAGAACAGGAGTTGGGAAAGACAGAGAACAGGAGTTGGGAAAGACAGTGAGCAGAGATCAAGATAATATTAAAGAAAATCAATAAATGTTCAGTAAGTATATAAAATGTACAGCCAAACAAAAAAGAAACAAACCTACCAAGTTCTATCTAGTTCCATCAAACTATTCTTCAGTAATCTTAAGACTGCTATATATCACATGGCTTCATTTCACAAATGAAGAGTTGTGGGTTCTATGTAACAGGCATTGTCATTCAGAGGCTGGTTCTCCAAACAAGAGGACTTGTTGGAAGATGATCATTTATGATCCTTGCCATATAGTCTCTTCACTGAAATTGAGTTTTTGCAGTAGAGATTCAACTCTTGTGGCTATGGATGACTGGAGCTCTTTTTTCTCATGGAGAAAAAAATGACTGATATAATTAGTAAATAAAGTTTATAATGGTAACTAGCAGAAACTGCAGAAAATTTAGAGTTATTGACAATTGAGATCATCCATTATCTCATGCCTCTGCACTTCTCTCAACTTTTGTATAGTTTTCTCTTATCCCTTTCAATGCCTGTTCATATTTATATCTGTTGTAGCATACCTACAGACAATAATGGGTATGCCCCCATTCACATAAATACAGTAGTAAATACTGTATGTTGGTCTGCAGTTGGAGATTCATTGCAGAATTCACTTGATTCACTTCTAGCAGTTGACTACTTCTACATGCAGCCGGTGAATCTTAAATGTGTTCTTATCCTAAGTATAATCGTTCATTAACAACCTTCATTTGATTATTCTATTCAGTAACCTTCCCTAGCTTACAACAATATCTAAATGCTATTTCTTAGTACTATAAACATTATTTTTAGCAGGTATATGTCTTTGAGTTGGTATCTGTTTTTTTTTTGTTTTGTTTTTTTGTCTTTTTATCTTTAACAACCACATAAATTAAGAAATCCTACTAAAAGAATATTGTGCCCCTGCAAAAAATCAAATCATTTTTTACATCAATTTATACTGGTTGTTATGAATTTCACTGTTTAATAAAATGAAAAACAGTGAGAGCAACACAAACATGTTTACCCACTAAAATTAACGTTTATTATGAAATAATGTCACATAAAAAAAAAAATCTTAGAAAACCTATTAAATGTTATATGAAAATTAATTCTATATGTGAAAAAAGGAATAATAAAGATTTTACATATATTTTCTTAATGCATTCTCTTTTGCCTCATAAAGGAATTTAATGTCTTGCAATTTTTACTCCTTTCCAACTGTGTTTTAATCTGTTGCTTATCATCGATTTCTTTCATCTCTATCTGTAGGTGTGTGTGAGGTGCTAAAAAATTCTCAGGCCAACTACTTAAGTTCTTCAATAAGACCTCCTATGATCTAGGCTGGTAGATGTTAATTTTCACTGTTAAAAAAAAAAAAAAACAGGTCTTCTCAAACATGAACCCACTAAAAGAAAATTTACAGTAATGAGAAAATAATGTTAGATTAAAAATCTTTTTCTTTTAGTTTTTCTCTAGCTTTAACTCCTACCTTCCTTATTTTACAACTTCTTTCATCCCAACCCCTATCTTTCAACCCTTAATTGCTTCTTGTTTAACATCAGGTTGGTTTCTCAGTCAGAAAGCATAACTGATTCAAATTCAGAAAACCAAACATTGGGCAGATACTACAGTCCGATCCTAAGTAAAAGAAAAAGCAATGGTCACACATACATTGATTGGTTGATTTGTTTTTTTTATGGCTTATCAACCTTTTGCAGGTTATTTAAAACCAGAAAATATTTTTAGATTTTAAGAATTTTTGGGAGATAATGATTTATTGATACAAATCCTAATAATTAGCCCCTAGCTAGGGGGAAGTGGATTCATACCTTTCCCAAGGGTATTTGTGTGTGAGTGAATATAACAAACCCAACTGGAATTGAAACTCAGCTAATTTCCAATTTCGAGTTGTTATCCATTATACCTGATATTCACAAACTAGGTACTGACGTCACACATGCAAACCAGAAGAATAAATATACATGATGATGATCACTAACTTCAGTCCTGGTTGGGTCAATTTTAATGCAATTAATTGTTTGAATGCATATTTATGAATGGTTAAAAGTTTCAGTATCAGAGAATTCCAGATTTTCCTTAAGAGATAACTTAAAATGTCCACTTGAGAAATTTGAATACAAAATATCTTGGTTTGCTGCACATAAAATGTTTTTAGAATACTCCAAGATTTGTGCATACAAACATTACTAAACTTCACTGTTGTTTGGAGGGGGGAGGATAACAAAAAAAATGAAGAAAAGAGTGGAATGTAAGATTCAATGAAATTACTTCTCTTTTCATCATGAAGAAACCAAAGAGTACACTCCATAAGAAAGTACTTAAAAAAATTAAAAAAACAAAAAAAAACAAAAAAAAACCCAAAAAACAACAAAGTCATGAAGAAAGTTCCACCAGAATCAGAGAAGAGAAATTATTTATTTCTTTGAAAATCAAGTTAACACGGTCACTGCTGCATTGTTATGGCTTGGATGTGTTGGCTTGGATGTGTTGGCATGTTTTGCCATTTACCAAAAATAAATTAAAGACGCTTATTTCGCATGAATCCTCTGCAATACAGACTATGCTAAAAAGAAAAACTCCAATATATAATACAAGTACAAAATAGGTTGTATTTTATGCTACTGTATGTCTACACTAGTATAGAAAGAGTATAAAGTACTATTTAGCTTATAACATAAACATTAGGGACCAACATTTCATGGTGTCTTGAAAATATATATATGTATATCAACAGCAGGCAATATAATCTTCATGAAGAGTATATATATATATATATATATATATAATAAAAGGCTTAAACACTAATATTCCATGGTCATAATTTATTCCATTGGAATCGTAAATACGATCAAATCATCAGACCTACAAATTCAAAATGAAAACAGAAAAAACAACTCCGGAAATCAAAACAAATTTAGAGAAAGTGTAAGTATGAGGATGAGTGACAGAAATTTTTTGGAGATGTGGGTGGGGTGGATTTAAAAAGAGGAGAGAAAGAAAGTCGACGGATGTCTAATACATAAAGATACATTTCGTGGTGACATATACACACCACAGACAATTCGGATAGGAAGGAAAAAAAAAAAAAAAAAAAAAGGAAAGGTTGGGGGGAGAGGGATGGGACGAAGGAAAATAAAAATGTGTTTACATAAAGGGCCGCTTCGTAATTGGGAAAATTAAATCAAATATAAATATGAAGATGAATATAACGATTGTCTCATTTCATAAGGACCAAATATTTCTATGTATAAAAACACATACTAATACACACAAAAAACATATACAATATACATACATAGGCATGTACACACACACACACACCCAGACATACGTGTACATACATACATATATATACATATACATATATATATATATATATATATATATATATATATATATATATATATATATATATATATATATATATATATATATATATATATATATATATATATATATATATATATATATATATATATATATATATATATATATATATATATATATATATATATATATATATATATATATATATATATATATATATATATATATATATGTATATATATCCACACATCCATGTGTATATATATATATTTATATATATATATATATATATATATTATGAACATATAAATATATACATATGTATATAAATGAGTGCATGTACAATATGTTATATTCATATTCATATATTTATATTTGATTTATATGTGTTTTTGAACATACGAAATATTTATATGAAATATTCAATATTTATATTTGATTTATTTTCCCAATTACGAAGCGTCCCATGTAAACACATTTTATTTTCCTTCGTCCCATCCCTCTCCCCCAACCTTTATTTTTTTTTTTTTTTTTTTCCCTTCCTATCCGAATTGTCTGTGGTGTGTATATGTCACCAATGAAATGTATTCTTTATGTATTAGACATCCGTCGACTTTCTTTTCTCTCCTCTTTTTAAATGTGTGTCTGTCACTCATCCTCATACTTACACTTTCTAAATTTGTTTTGATTTCCGGAGTTGTTTTTTTCATTTTGAATTTGTAGGTCTGATGATTTGATCGTATTTACGATTCCAATGGAATAAATTATGACCATGGAATATTAGTGTTTAAGCCTTTTTTATTATATCCTTACTCTGTCCTAGACATTGAGTTCTACCTGGATCCTTCCTCTTGGAAAAATTTTTCTGAAAATATACATGTATGGGAATTTTTAGATATATTTTTTCATATGTATGTATATTTTCCACTAATATTATCTATCTATCTATATATATATATATATATATATATATATATATATATATATGTATGTATGTATGTCAACAGTAAGCAAATATAAACTTCATGACGATGTATATGTACATCCACAGCAGCAGTGGAAGTGTTAAACAGAATGAAAAGGAACAGATGTTAAGTTTTGTTTGTTTTTAGTGCATGATAAGTGGACACAGTAGTAGTAGGAGGAGTTTGTGTGCAAAAATACTTTTGTAAAGAGAGAAAAATATATCTAAATGAGAGAAAAAAAAAAATTGAAATGCCCGAAAAAGGAATTAGAGAAGAGACCTTGTACCAGATTAAGTCCAGATACTTTTTTGAAATATACTGGCCAGATGTCTGTCCATTATCGTCCTTATCAGATGACCACTTGCTAAATGTAGGTGCAGGCTCATCTTTCAGTACTGCTGTAAGCTGTTTTAGGGAAGCCAAAAATGAAACTGTTATTATCACTAGTAAATTGAACAGAGATAAGACTCATAAAAATAATAGAAATGTGTAGCCACCATTGAATTTTCAACAACTGATAAAATGACTAAGTAGTCCAAGTGATAATTTTCACTACAAATGCATCAATAAATAAAAAGGTCTCTTTTCCACTCTACAAGCAGGTCACAAAATTCTTAGCCCATCAAATTTAAGATATTTTCAAATAAAATTTGCTTAATGATAAAATTCCCATTCAAATTGGCTCTAAAGTCTTGCTT